TTTTTAATATTTTTATAAAATATTAAAATAATAATAATGATTAATATTTGTTAAAAGTGAAAGTAAAGCAACAAAATATCATGTTTTTTTGTGATCACATTCAAGTAACTACATTTTATCATGCCATTTCATTATTCGTATTTATAATTACCGAGATGTGTAATATATTGGAATACGTGCCTCGTAGATATTATCGCAGACCATTACGATTGTTCGGTTACGGACTGTATAGATGGTTATGAAGCTGCCAGCATAGATGTGAAATTACATGTCAATGTCCGTGACGGTGTGTATTAACTTCAGTGATTGACGATAGAGGGAACGGCGGATATCGGCGTACTCCGCGCGATCGGTTACAGAATTCCGTTCTGTTATCTGCTAAGATTGATCCGCGTAAGATCACGGTATTATCATTTAACTTGATAGCGCGTGCACGAAGGATTTATGCGGTGGTCTCTTGGTGTCTGGGATATATAGTAGCGTATCGTAGTAACAAGTCATATATCTCTCGTCCGCCAGCCTCCAATATGAAGCACGCTGCGGGATTATAACGAATATTTTATGGTAACAGATATGTCCGTTAGTATTGCGAGCCAAGTAAATTATGATCCGTCAGGGGAGAGTTTCGTGTTCGTGTAAACGTGCGGGTTTACGTTCTTGAAGCTGTTTGCAACTCGGCAACGCTGTCACGCGGCGAAAAAATATATCCCAAACTTTTTCTCCGGCCGTAAACGATGTTCGAACGGAATCGCTTCTCTGAAACAACCTTGCGAATATACTTGTTCAAGAAAAACTTGTCAAACTCGTACTCCGACAGCGAAATCGCGGCCACGCGTAGCGAGAGAAATTACGCTTCAATTATCTAAGCCAGAATATTGTCGAATTCGAACACTACATTATTGTACTCTGCTTCTTACAGCAGCATTATTGCGTACTATACTATAATGTTGTGGTATTATTGTTTTTTACAGTAAAATAAACCTAGAATAAAATTCTGATGGAAAGCAATTCGAGCCATGTACAACAAGTAAAACAAAACTTGCGCTAATGTTTGAACTTTCCTTTCAATTTCTGCATGTCTGAAAAACGACTGCGAACCTCGCGCTTAACAATACACATAACAATAGCCAGAGCTGAAACACTGACCGCGATATATTATACTTTTCGCACCTTTGAAGAGACCAGCCGCTTGCTCACGCGAAACGCTTAATTTCGGCTGTCCTATTTCAAAAACACATTGTAATCATTATTACAATATATATTTCGACGAATACCGCAGGTGCAATACTAGCGTGCTGTCTCGCTATAGCGAAGACAGATTGAATACGCCATAGAAATGGGAACGAGCGTCTCGGTTTGTGCGGTTATTCGTCTTCTCTAATTAACTGTGAATTTACTTCTCTGCCCGACGGGCATCGCGCTACAGAATTGCAGGATATCGAAGAAAACTGGAATTAGGCCAGTTATATTACAGAAATATATGTATATATATACCCTCTTCTCCCGCATCTATGTGTACTATGTACGCGTTATGTAGCATATATACTACCATATATACTACATATATACTTGCGCTCGTATCTGATTTAAATTGGATCGTTTCTAAGACCGGAGGTACCTGCCAATTTGCTGAGTCCACAAACTATTTCGCCCTTGCGCGGTTACTTGAGCTTTCTGCATACGAGTTCTCAAACACTAGGTTATTTTACAACCTGATATAAGAGGTCTGTCTGTTAAAATTCTCGAATATCACTCGTTTGCCGAATGAACGATCAAAGGTCGTGTTTTACATAACATTCGTGTGTGAATTCACGTCTAAAAGAGTATCGTGAATTTTTAACATCGCAAAAACATATATTCCACGTAACACAAAAATTATAATAAAAATAACGTCTATAAATAATAATGAAATATTTTTCGTTGATTTCCACACAGGCGAGCGATATATAAATATCTCCTGCGCAATTTTATACGTCTTTTAGTCTTCGATAATATCAGATGTAATTAGTATAATTTTCCTGTATATGATTCTCTCGATAAGAGTCGTGGGATATATTTATGTATAATGGACGGTGTGTTAGCTGCGTGACAAAAATATTTTACTACAGCGGGACATGAAAATATGTTGCCGCTAAGTTAGATTAATGCGCTTTGATATTAGCAACATCAACAAAAATTGTTTTCCACAGAATGTTCGTTGGTGTGTGCCGTTTCCATCTATTATCTTCATGCGATAAACTATATCTATTTTGCTTTGTCTGTTATCTGCATCCTGAAATCTCCACATGACATTATCACGGAGATTTGTAATCATCGCTATTTCGTAATTGCTCGAGCTATGTTTGTTCATGAAAAAAAAGACGTCAACAGAAATTGTCTAAGACGTGAAAACTGCGCGAAAAACTTATCTATGCGAAAGATGCCCTATCATTAGCAGCGTTGTTGCACGCGACCACGCCATTTCGGAGTTAAGAACTATAGTCGGTCGGCACAACGATCAGCGGTCTTAATTGGTTCGCTTCACCTCGCTTGATTACATACGAAGTAATTAAAAGTGTCGCCGTTCTAACTTCACTTTTCGCCAAACAACTTGCCTCATCTCGCGCGCACGCGCGCGCCATTCAATATGCCAAAACAGCTTTCTCCCGAAAATTAAACTCGCTTATACGCAATGTGTTTTCCGTTGTGAATAACAATCATTACATCTGCGCGTTATTACCGCGGCAACGCTATCAAACTATGCGTGCACTTCCAACTTGTGCGCTTTAATGCAGTTTCTGTTATTATACTGCAGGAATGTGCAAAGTTTACTGCACGTCGTTGCGAACTTATTTTTTGACCAAGACGCGCCGAAATTTCAAAGTCAACAGTCCGAAAAAGTTGTACAAGCAGTTTTTCTCTTCGCGACCTTTCGTCGAGATATTGAGCAAAAATTGTTCTTGAAAGTTTCGCTTTGCGGCAGATGCCGGGCATGAAAAAGTTTGTGCCAATTAGGCATTATCTTGTTTGTGGAGCTCGTAGACACTTTGAACGTTTCTTGGACAAAACATCAACTTTGCCAAAACCGATTTTGATCTACTTCTTCCGCAATTAAGTTGAGAGTATAATTTATTTAATAACGGAAAAAAACTAACGAACTTAACTTTTATATTTCAAAAATTATTTACGCGCTAAGCATTATACATTTTTGAACTTACCTGGACAGTGGTCCACTGCTGATGATGTAGTGAGTGTAGTAGAGTATACTACTGACGGAGACGAGCAGAAGCGCTACGACGCAGCGCTTCACCGTCGCCTGCTTGAAGACGCAGCGCGGACCGAAGGCGCCTAATAGAGGAACGCCAGATTCACCCGCGGATATCCTCATCACCATCGTCTCATTCGACGACGTATCTGCGAATGCGACCAACGCTTATCGCCAAGTGTCCACCCTCGAACGATCAGTCAGTTGATGTGTTTGCCTGCGACGCGCAAACACTATTGCAACCTTCTTCAACGAATCCGACGGACGATCCGGTAGCAGATCCGAGAATCGTCGATGATTTCCGACGAGTGTCCTCTTCTGTTCAGTATCAGGTATCGTCGTCGCCATGGATTCGCGTTTGCAGTTTTTCTTTCAACGTCTGCAGCCTGCATTAGATATGGTGTTTCTTGTAAAACGCGATGTGTATCTTTTAAAACGCGTATATGATACGTAAATAATTTATATCAATATTCTCTTATTATCCTCGATCGATAGTTAAACGCAAACTGTAGTTTAAAGTTTCACTTCCCGCGTATCTGTTCTCCGGCGAGGATAACACCGACAGATTCACGTAGTCAAGTTTTGAAATCTCAGCTCGAGGCTACCTCTTGATCCTTTCAATAAAGTACCTTTTGACGAGGTTAACGAGCAGCATCGGACCGGGATCTCTTAACTTTCAATTCGTTGGTCGAACGTTTTCTCCCCCCTACCGACGAAGTAAATCTACTTAGCTCGGCAAAGGAAAGCCTGACGAGCAAATTTCGAGAGGCGATCGTACTCGAGACGAGAAAAACGGATTCAGAGTTCATTAGACGCGCTTTAATCCCGTTGGCGTCGCGCACGTTCCGGGCAACAACGGCGATTCTTTCCGGCTTGGGAGCCTCGATCCAAGCCAGGTCGCAAACCCGATCGGTCCCGGATCAAATCCCCCCCGTACATCTATCGAGTAACATCGATGACGTCTCAGCATCGAGGATCTGGACACCACTTGTTGCACTTTTGGGATATGATCGCCATTTCGCAAGCAGCACGAGATCGCGCCGTCAATAGCGGCCGCCTTTAACCCATCTGGCCAGGTTGTGCCGCGAAGATCAATTCTCTTCGTAGTCTTTTCTTCAACGGCACATAGTCGCGCGACACCGTGTCATTGTTCGGTCCGAATTGCGCGGCAAGAAATCGCGTTTCTCTAGCAGAACGATTGACGCAATGCGCGCGTTGTCTCATCGTCGGCGATTCGGAATCATCCCGTCTCCGAGTGACGTCTCGAAAAAACAAGTGCCGCCGTTCATTCGGCTTTCGTGCCTCGGAACAATTCGCCACGCGAAAGACAGTCAGACAGCCGTGCTTGAAACTTTACATCCGTGTGCTCGCGAATTCTTGCGAGTCTCTTCCTGCTTGCTTACTTGCTCGCTCGTTCGTTCGCTAGATAGTTGCCGTCTGCTTCCGGTGTCGTTGCACGGCGAGCCGGTTCACGACTGAACCATTTGTTACGGCGCACGACCGCCCCTAGACAACCACCTTGGACCTCACGACGTGCAAGCAAACCGGCTCACTCGTAAATTTCGAACGCCGCTCCGTGTCTTCCGTCCGACTCGCTTCTCATTCCCTCTCCTAGTTATCCTCCCTCGTCGCGCTGGCGTTCCCTCTACCCTCTATCTGTCAATTAGGAACGATGTACAGGCGCGACGCTTTCTACGCGATACAATTTTCGAAGTTTATCTCTTTGCGTTGACGTCTTTTCGCCGGAAAACACCACGAATCCCATGATATCGCTCTCTCCTGCAACAGTCAGAACCAGAAGAAAAAGAATTAGAACAAACAAACAAAAAAATAAAACCACATTCGCGATATATTGTTGTTGATAATATCTGCGCGATAACGTTTATAAAAGCTCTTTCAGCCATTAATTTCTATATGTTTGAAACAATACAAGAAAGAGTTTATAGAAGAATAAAAATATCTCTTATATAAATCCTCTTTTTCAGCCGCGATTATTCCAAAATAACAAATCGATATTGACAATATCAATCGCCGCGGGGATAACAACGCAAAAAGGGATGATGTGCGCACGCGAGTCATCCCGGGACGATTAAACAACAGCGGCCAGACGATTACGGCACCCAACAACTCCAATTAATCGACCGTACTACAGCCATAGTGGTGCAACGTTCATCGTGCCACCGGCCTCCGCCCGGGCTAATTTTTTTCTCACCGGTTATACATCCGCCCTCAGCAAGAAGTCCATTAATCAGTCTCTCATCCTCTTTCCCCGATCTCCCTTTTCCCGCCTTTAGCAAGCAGCCCCGCGGCGATACAAACTTTCGTTTTATCTGTTGTTATTCGCGCGAGTCCGTTCGCATCGGACCCTTCCGATTCCGACGAGAGAAGGAACGAACGAAAAATGCGATAAAAGGCGCCAGAGATAAATTGAAAATGAGACTGCGTAGCAAAAAACGCGGAGAAACGTGGAAATAGATAGAATCGATGTCAAGAAGGCCCTCCGGAAGAATATCACCCTCCCGCGCAACTATCTTTCTCCGTATCTCCAGTTACTTCCGGCGTCTCTTCTCTCGGGAGCTGACCCAACATTTTTCTCAGGGAAAATACTGATACCATCTGCAAAGCGCCGAGCTGATTTCGAGAAATCGGACAGACTACGAAGACACCGAAAAAAAAAAAAAACTTGTTCGACAAGAGCGAGGATCCGCGCACGACGACGACATTGGCGTACGGAATTTAATTACACGGTCGGAATGACTGACACGCTAATGGGTGAATGGAGGAGGAGAGAAGCTCGTCAACGCGAACTTTGGCAATACCTTGCCGCTTTTCTATTCCTCCCCGTTCACCCCTCAATCGAGATCCTCCGGTTCTTTGATCCGCTGACGTGTAATGATGGGATAGTTCGCTCGGAATGAAACTCGGCGCGCATGGCGAAACGAGAAAGTGCCCGGGACGCGAATACAACAGCGCGAAAATTGAACAACCGTAAATGTGCTGTACGTGTCTACGTGTGCCGGAGAGGAAAATAGAATGCCGATTCGTCGTTCCTTCAATGTCGCGCGTAGTCTATTACGCAAATAAATTTTAATGCTTACAAGCTTTTTCACTTAGTATATAATAAACTCTCTACAGATAAGAGTATACTAACCTGGAGAACCTATTTTTTCATTATAATTACCTCATTATGAAGAAATATATATGGATGATAAAATAATGTCTCCCTAAATCCTTCACGTAGATAATATCGCGAATGCATTTGGGTGCTTTTTATTTCGCGTTCTTTTAACCAAGCCCGAAGTTATTTATCTCGCTAAACAAAAGCAGTAAATAAAATTTATCCCCGTGACACGTTCCGCTTTTATTTAGATATATGGAAACATCCGTACGGTAAAGTCTCGAGCCTTAATTCCCTCTAGCGCATTCATTCCCGTAATATTTTTCCGTCTTATACGCACCGATGCAACTTTTCCCGCAAACTCGGCTCCGCGCGGAGTCAATTCGTTTATTGCACGGAAATAATTCCTTCGGGGGTTCCTTCCCGAGATCTATCCGGTGTGTCGGGTGCTTAATTCGAGAGACACGTTTTGGCCCCCCGAGAGGGTCGTTAGTAGAATGCATCACGTGCGCGGGATTTAAAGGGAGAAGCCACGTAGGTGGCGCACGGAGATTGCACCGAGAAAGCTACTCGATCGGCACGAAATGATTACGGGCGGTTCCTCCTGATTATTCGTTCGAACAAAACCATCTTTCTTCCACGTCCCCGTCGAAGTATCTTGGCGAACTGTTCCTTCGTTCGCCGAGTTCACTCGCGAGAGAATCCAATTTCATTTCGACTATCTAGAACATGTAATATAATGTATCCGTTTCTATTTGAACGTATTTATTAATACTCTGATGCAACAATTGATGACGTTTCAATTTGCGAAATGCATCCTGTGTAATCAATTCCAATTTCTTGCATCACGTTTGAAGCAAAATTTCGATTGATAAAATTGAAAAGACAAATTTTATATGGTAGAGGAAAATTTTGATATACTGATGCCGCACGAGATATATGACTCGATATTAATATAGTGCACACAGTTTTGTAAGAAGTTCGAATATCAAATACAATAAATGTTGAATGCAGATAAGCTACGATAAAGAAAAGAAAAAAAAAATCAAAGCAATCTCCTTTTGAAATATTTTATTGCATCCGAGAGAGAAAATAGCGTAGTGATCATAAAAATGTTATATCTGTTTTTTTTTTTTTTCATAGAATGATTGGAAACGTGCGTTCCTTTTTTTTCGTAAAATAAAAGGCTGCGAAATCCGCGGGGTTTTCTCGAGGGAATGTTTCGCAAATACAAGAATCCCCCAAGCGAGATGTATCTTTTGAAGATAAGATATACTAGAATTTATCACCTTTGCAAAAAAGACAAAAAAAAACAAAAAAAAACAGGAAAACAACTAAAGAAAATAAGTACCGTTTGTTCTCAAATAGAAAAACCTTTAGATATAAACTTTTATAATAAAAACTATGATATTGCAAAAGCCAAATACACACAAAATGAAATTGTTTCAACATTTTCACAGAATTTTTTACTAGTCTGTGTTTTTTAATATTAAAATACCAAAAATAAAAATTATTTTTCCCGGGTTCTCGTCACCCGCTGTTATCTAAACGTGCTGTACTATCACATTCAAAGCTCAATTTCTCGTGTTTATGAGGTGTTTCGTAATCGATGAGAGACTTGATGTAGCATCACGTATATTAACGCGTGCAGCTCAACTTCCATTATTTCGGTCGAGCAATCTCCGCAGGAATCTCGAGCAAAAGAACCAACGTGCGATGGTCATACGCGCATTAAGAGCAGATATCTTGCTGCTCCATTGATTCTCAAAGTGATAATAAACGAATCGACAGTACGCGTCAAGTATACATGACGGTCGCCTTTCGCAAAATTACATTTTCGAACGCCAGTCGAAAACGGCTGTCAGTCAAAATTTCTGTCGCTCGCAATATGTCACGTCGCTCTCGTGATCCTTGGATTATAATCTATCGCACATAGAGATATTGCTTCTTTTTTTATTCCACGTCGGCTGCTGTATTCCAGGGATGGTGAAAAAACAACGGCCGGAAATAACACCTATAGCGCCCTCCGGCCGGCGGTCTCTCGCTTTCCGGAGCAATTCGTTGCACGTACACACGTACACGCACGCACGCCGCGCGCTCTCTTGTGTACACACGTGAAACGTTCGTGCGTACGTGTGTGTTTTTGGTTAGAGTAGAAGCGTGAAATTAAATCCGAGAAACGCGAACACACATACACACGCAAAACTTACGTGCTCCCCCTACGTGTTGCTCTGGTTGCGTCTGCACACTATGATATTGCGATATAATACAACACAACCGCAACCCAGCATTTCTCCGCAGCTTTTGGTACGAAGCAGACGGTTCGGTTAATATAATATGTGTGTATGTATGTGTGCGCGTGAAAAAAAAAACTAAAAAAAAATATAAACATCGCGCGAACATTAATAAACACCGTCGATCTATTATTTAAGCGTGCTCTATGAACAAAAAATAAGAAAAAATTCTCGCTCGATATATGCAAATTAAAATAAACGCATAGTCGTAAAATTTAGCGACACACATACACACACAAATGACGCGTCGATAAAGTCTAGGATACGGTAACCAGGTACTCGCGTGTGCGAGACATGGGTATTATAACATCATAACACGCGCATATACGAGACATGTGTAATGTAATATCACAATACACACATATCGTTACGCGTATCGCGGCGGAATTAGATACACACGCGCAAACCGACTAACTTATCGTGACACATTTTTGATTGCGCACTAGATCTCGAAATTCCGAATTTCAATATTCCCATTACACTTGAGGGCAACATTGATGTGCGCAGACACGTAGAGAGTAAGAGAAGACACTGGGTCTTTGCTTGTGCAAAGGAAATCAAATATCCTGTCTAATAATTACAAACCGCATGCTGTAAGAAATGAGCGCGTCGTGTAGACGTCTAAGAAAATTAGTTAGGAATTTGCATACTGCTCGCGCGGTGAAAACAACATAATTATACGAATAGGTGTTCTGAGTGTCAAGAAAACATCTGTAATCTATCAAATTGCGTGAAAAACTGTGCGTACACGTATTAAATAAAAAAATAAAATACTATTTTTTGTGTAATTTAAAATAGAAAATTATGTTTTATGTGTAAAAACCACGTATCTCATCTTTAACTCATCTTTATTAAATCAACAAAAATTTTTAAAATAATTTCTCATAATTAACGAAAGTAAATTATTTAAGCGTCTAATAATTTTCAGAATATCTCTACATTATATAAAGGTAATAAAATCAATAAAGTTCAAATGAATAGGAAATTCTGTCAAAAGCAACGACACTAATTCCGGCGTCGCTGTGTTTAATATTAGTCGAGCTACGTCAATAAAAAAAGTCAAAAAAGACACCACAAATTAAAACGCGTAAATAGCACAAAATAATTAAATACTTAAAAGTCCGCGCCTCAGAAGAGAGACTAACTAAGGAGATGCTAACTCAGCGGTTACGGCTCGTTAGATTAGCATGAGGTCGATGGGTGTCGAAGTGGCGCATTATGAGGTAAGATGAAATTCCAACGTACAAGGTGGGATATTGTCGCGGCTTGGTAGCGGTTTAAAAACTGCGGATAAAGCACACCCTCTGCTGCGCATATTAGCTCGACTTAAAAAGCAATTAACTGGTTGACGAGGTGCGCAAGAGATT